TTTTCATTGTATATACTCTGACAACTTGAATATAATATTACGTTTCGTCTGATGTAATTACGATTGGAATGATAAATTAGTATTGATATAATCTTTTATGAATTTTGATCAATGAAAAAATAGTTTAAATAATGTGATTATGTTTCAATCTCATATTTTCTTAGTCGATTCTCTCTGAAGAACTTGATCATTACAAATGGATTGAAAATTCTTCTACGGACGGAGTTGCAGCACTCGATTCATCATCAACTAAAATTATTATTATTTATAATGCAACGGACAAACAATCACGTGATCTTTTTGCCAATATGAAACGACTTCTTGAAAGAGGTATATTTTGAATAATATTTGATATATAGTAAAAATACATCAGCGCTTATTTTGTTTTTATCTGGAAAAAACGGATATACTTGAATTTTTATAGGATAAACTTGAGATTTTAAATTTAATATATCTAAAGAATATGGTCTTTTACTTTTATTTATATCATAGATAATCTTATTCATATAATGGAGTGTTTTAGAATCACCGATTAAACCAATTCCACGACCCGTAGATGGTATTAAACCTCCAAATGAACCAATTCCACGACCCCCAGATCATATTATAGCACCAAAAGAAGGTATTGTAACCATGTTAAACAAATTATAGTAAAATTATTAATTATTTGATAATATAAACCAAAGCGTACGGATAATCAACCTTAGATAATAACATATTAGAAACTTTTAATAGCAGTTGTCTATATGAATTATATTCATTTAATGATAGAATCTTTGTTAATAAAGGTTTAAAACTATACGTTGGTCAGTGGTAGTATTCACTTTGCTAATCAGATTTCTGACAGTTTCATACGATCTAATGTAATCAGATGAGTACTATTGGTTAAAAATTCAAAATAGTTCTATTCTTCATGCTGTTCATCAGTTTAGTAAGTATGCTCTTGATTATGCATCACTCATATGACATTTTTCTTTTCTAAAAACTACAGATCATATTGTTTTAGCTGTCAATGATCTGATAAACTACATTGAAACCGGTGCAGAAAATGATGCTCAACATCCTGCAAGATATTTGGCAAAAAACCGAACAAATATTCAATTTAATCTAAAGGATCCTAACGATAATAAAAAAAAAGCTGCAGTTAAACAATTCGAAACCCAAGAATCATCCAATATTCTTAAGTGTGTTGATATTATATATTTTTCGAATTTTTCAACTTGTTTATTTAGATTAAAACTGCAAATTGAATGTCATTTAGATCGAAATCCTTTAATTTTACAACTCGATGTACGTTCTGGTACTAATCTTCGAACATTAAAAGATCAAGTTTGTTGATATATAAAATATATTTATTTATAAAAAAAAATCTAATTTATTATTTAGATTGAAAACAAAACAGGTATCAAGTATAAAGATCAATATTGGTATGCATTTGAACGATATATGATTAGTGACGATTATGTATTTGGATCTACACAATTAGTAGTTCCACCTCCTCCAAGAAATGCTCCGAGTAAACGAACAGTGCAGCCAACAGAACCCATTCGAACTGGTGATACTCTTATCATGTATATAGCTCAACTTCGTCCATATGAACACTGATAAAGAAAAATGACACATTCTTTTTGATATTTAATTTAATTTTTTCGTTTCTTTTAGTATATCAAAAAATATTAAACCAGGTGCGAATATTATCGTTTTCTATTTCAGATGACTCATCATCGTCGTCAATTAATAACAGATCTTGATACTCATCTAACGAAATTATCTATTCCATATCAATGTCGTAAATCATCATTATCATATGGTATATGGAATACATCATTAAATATGATTGAAATAATTCAACAACATCGTTCAGCAGCAAAATGTTTTCAATCAATGGGTATTACGAAATATTCTAAATTATATATTTATCCAGAAGAAGCTATATATATGATGCAATCTTCATTATTACAAGTATCATTAAATAATTCGAATGAAAAACATAATTTTCCATTATCACTTGATGAAGCTTATTCATTATGGTTTAATCAATCTTTATTAAATCTTCAACATCTTCATGTTTATCAATATTTAACAAGAATTGGATTTATTTTAATTCGACATCAATCACAAACAGCAATAGTTGAAAAAAAAGAAATTCTATCAAGTGCAACAACACATACTACTAGTAAACGAAAACGTAGTGAATATGAAGAAGAATCAGTTGAACATCAAGAAAATGAACATCATGATGAAACTTATCTTTGTCCGGTAAATAAAAAAGTTTAAATAAATCAAGAAAATCTATTAGTGTACATGAGAAATCAATCATATTGATTAACACAAAAATAAAGTTTTAATTTAATATTGAACAGTTAAATTTCTCTTATTAGATTCATTTATCATCTGATTGTCAACGGCTATGGTTTCCAAATTATACCGATGAATCTCCTATAAATACAAAAAATTATCCTCGTTTGATATTTCCAAGTAAACTATCATCGATTCAAATTGATTGGGTTCCATCTGATTTTAATATTAAAATTTCCAATGTTCAATTAACTATCTATGAAAATAATATTTCAATACCTCGACCATCTTATTCTCTTATTCGATCAATTGATCTTCAATCTCATGCAACAATATATCAACGTTTATCATCATTTTCTTCTCAATCAGATGAAACGATTCCGTCATCAGTATCTTCCAATATTTTCTTCGATATGTATACACCAAGAAAAAGTTTTCGTAAAACTCAACCAGGCCCACCGGATTATTATATAAGAATTCAAAATGGTAATGATGAATTTAATTTCAAAGAAATATATAAAGAATTACAAGAAAAAACTTTAACAGCAGTTGTTCATAAGGGTGATGTTTGTTTTTATTCATTTAAATCATTCGATCCAGTTCAAGCTTTGCAATCAAAACAATAAATATGCATATGATTATTTGTTATTCTTTTCTTTTTTCTAGATGTTACCAATATATTCTTGGTCAATAAGTATAGTAGCAGGTTTATTTATTCTTAACTGGTGTCGAAATCGTTTGAAACAATCTAATTATCGTTCTATTGCAAATGAACGTGCTCAAAGAAAACGTCAAGCTCGTGATAAACATCGAGAAGAATTATTACATCTTTTACGAACAAAATATTCAACAAAACTTCCTGATCGTTCTATAGTTGAACGAATTGCGAGATCAACAGCCGTTGAATTATTAGATGGTCTTGAAAAAAATGAGTTTACTTATACACAAGTTATACTTGTTCTTTCTCTTCGTTCAATTAAAATTGGAAAAGAAATCAATTGTACTACGGAAGAATTTTTCGATCAAGCAATTGAATATGCTGAACAATTTGATAAAGATCATACTAATAATCACGAAAAATTTTCACTTAAAGGTATACCAATTAGTATAAAAGATCATATCGATCAAAAAGGAGCAGATTCATCAATGGGTATAGCAATGAAAAATTTTCGACCATCATTAAAAGATAGTCTTATTGTTCAATTACTTAAAGAACAAGGGGCATTAGCTGGTTTTGTACGTACATCAACTATACAAGGGATGATGTTACCTGAAACAGAAAATGAAACTTATGGAATAGCAACTAATCCTTTTAATTCTACACGTACAACAGGTGGTAGTTCAGGTAAACAAAAAATGATTGAAAATGAAAGAAAACTTGAAATATTTTTATTTTAGGTGGTTGTGGTGCTTTGGTAGCATCTTGTGGTACTCCAATAAGTATTGGTACTGATATTGGTGGAAGTATACGTATTCCTGCACATTTTTGTGGTATATTTGGTTTTAAACCAACACCAGGTCGAATCTCGAATATAGGTGTAACAGTTCCATCTCCTAAGAATATACCAGGTGAAACAAACATTCGTGCAACTGCTGGTCCATTAGCACGATGTACAGATGATCTTGTTCTAGTTATGCGTTCATTTTTACAAGAAAATCTTTGGCATAATGACCCACATCTATGCAGACAACCATGGCGAGATGAACGTTTTCAAGATAAAAAAAGATTAACTATTGGTTTCTATACAAATGATAATTGGTTTCCACCTGCACCTGCTTGTATTCGAGCAGTTAATGAAGCTGCTGATGCTTTACGTAAACTTGGTCATACAGTTATTCCATATACACCAATTAATGTACAAGAAGCAATGCGTCTTATTCTTGGAATTATAGGAGCAGATGGTGCTGCTCATTTTCTTGAATCCTTAGAAAATGAACCTTATAATCCAATTTATAAACCACTTGTTTATGCTGCAAAACTTCCAAATTTTCTTCGTCCATTTTTGGCTCGTTTAATGTGTATTGTTGGTGAACGACGTAATGCAAATACTGTTCGTTCTATTGGTTCCAAAAGTGCTTATGAATATTTTGATTTAATTATTGATTTGAAAAATTATATGAATACATGGTTAGATGATTTAAGAAAAAATAAAATTGATCTTCTTCTTGTAAGTCAAATTTTAATTCATAAATAAGATAAATTCATTCTTTTTTAATTAGACACCCGTTAATGCTTTACCAGCATTTCGTCGTGGTCAGTCTGGTCATTTATTTAATGCATGTAGTTATACATGTCTTTTTAATGTTTTACATTTACCAGCTGGTGTTGTACCAATGACATTAGTTCGAGATGATGAACAATATTATGAAGATATTGGTCATTTAAATAATGATATAGCATTATCTATGGCTAAAGAAACATGTCGACAATCAGCTGGATTACCTGTCGGTGTTCAATTAGTTGGATGGCCAAATGATGATGAACGTGTATTGTGTGTAATGAAAGAACTTGAAAGTTCAATCGAAAAAATTCAATCACGAATGTCAAAATTCGCTGAAACCATTGATATATTTACAGACTAAAACATCTATCATATATAATATATTTGTTTATTAGAAACACTAAATTAATTAGTTTTTTTTTCTATTATATAATTTCAGCATTTAGTATAGATTTTGTTTTCTTACTTTCAGATATTTACATGTTACGGTAAACACTCTATGACAAAAAAAAATTCTATTTCTCAACGTTTTCCTTCAATCATATAGATCCGACCAAACCGCGACTCTTATAATTAAAGATGATTCTGATTCTAATAAAATCAGCAAACATTCCAGTGTTAATTTAGAATTGATCAAAGATGGATCTAAAGTAGAAATTCTAATTAGAAACCCGATTGATGCTGAAGTACACGTCTTTGATAAAACTAATTTTACTCCAATAAATTTCATTGTAGATTATACGCCAGTATCCTTTATGTAGCTGTTCGTATTTACCAGATTCATCGAGTGAACATGCTATTTCTTTTCATGTTAGTTCTAAACAAGAAACAGTTATCATTATTGCTAAAGATGAACGATGTGTAAATTTATTTGCTTCTATTCAAAAATATTTCAATGGTAAATGAATTGATGTTAGGAAAATCTTTCATTATTCATCTTCTATTAAAAGATTCATCATACATTTCAAAAGAAGAAAATGTATCTAAAATTCAGAATGATCTTCGAGAAAAAGTTGAACAATTTATCGTAGCATTCAATAATGGCGATGTCGATACAGCTACTCGATACGCTCAAGTTCTTGCTAATTCTAGCAAAAATTCATCTATTCATTTTTATCTGAATAAAATTGGTGAACAAGAAAAATCAATCACTCACAAATTATTAAAGTAAATAAATACAACAGTTCGAGATTTATATTCGATAAGACAGATACATTTTCTATTTATAGACTACAAATAACGATTGAAAGTGTATTGGGTAAATCTGATAACAATCCCTATGAAGTAATTATTCGTTCACATACATCTTTACGTGAACTTAAACAAAAAGTAAAAATTAATATTAATTGAAAAATATATAAATTCTCGTATTTAGATATACGATCAAACAGGAATTCCGATTAACAACCAACAATGGTTTCTTAATCGACAAATTCTTTCCGATACTTACGAATTTATTGATATACCCCAATCGAAAACTAATAATACAGGACTTTTTCTTTATATTTGTAAATTATAATCATTTCGAATTGCAAGAAGATATATATATACAGAAGAAAGGAAATATTCGATATCTTATCATTAATTGAAATCACTTTTTGTGCACAAAGAAAACAATTGATGATTGTATCAAATTTATATTATCTCTAAGACGCTTGTGATGTGAGATAAAGAATGACTATCAAAATAGATAGATAGCTATTTCAATGATTGAATAGATTATATTTTTGATCAAATGAAGAAAAAACGAAAAACGAAATTAAATTTGACTATCGAAAGAAAATGTGTGTGTTCAACCATTTCATTGAACAAAAGAAAATGTCTCATATGTATATGCTTATGTCATGATAATTACAAACGAGTTATGCTTCAATGAATCTAGATTGATCAGTTAATTTAATGTATACTATCAGTGAACTCACATCCATATTTCTATATATATATTATTTATATAAAAAAACGACATTATAATGAAGGTTTGTAATTAGTTATATTGACTTTATACATTGGATTAGATTATTTATAGAACAATTATTCGATATAATATATTATTTAACTTTTCACTGTTAATGTGTAACATCTATTGGATAGAAATAACATTAAATGAATGGTTAGATATGCTGACTGAACAATAAAGAAAATATATGACTGGATATTTTTTATTATCATTATTATAGCATATAGGTCAAATTCGAATTTCTTTTTCTTTCTCTTTTGTGTAGTATTATCAAATGAAAGGTATTAATTCAGAACCGATAATATTAGATACTGATCAAATTGATGGAAAGGAAAATCAAAGTTATTTACGAAGTCAAAGTGATCAATATCTACCAATGTTTAAAGATACAGACAGATTTAATGTAAAAAATCTATCTAGAACAGCATCAGCTGGAGCTAATGCATTTCCTGTAATATATGAATTACCAATAGATGATATTAAAATTTCTACAGCTGATATTCCATATCCATCACCAACAATACCATACCCATCTTCAGCTCCTCCAACTATTCGTCATCAAAAATTAAATCGTCGATCAACGATTCTAGAATCATTTGAAAGACAATTATCCTCACCTGATTCCATATCGGATCGTGCAAGTACAATACTTGTTTGGCAAAACTTAACTGTTTCTACACGAGAAGATAGAAGAAAAGAGTTTTTTCAACGATTGAAATCATCAAAAAACTTTGTACCACAAAGAAAAGCTTTACTACATAATATAAGTGGAGCGATTACAGGTGGTTTATGGGCTGTAATGGGTACGTTTTCTGTATTAAAACTAGTAATCAATACAAGTTTTTTCTTCAAATAGGTGCATCTGGTTCTGGTAAATCCACTCTTTTAAATACATTAGCTTGTCGTCTTGATGTCAATACAATTGTCGAAGGTGAGATGCGTCTCAATGGTGCACCTTATGATAATGCTGAATTAAAACGTATTGCTGGGTATGTTATGCAAGATAATTTGTTAAATGGATATTTAACTGTTGAAGAAACATTGATGTATACAGCAAAATTACGTTTACCGAGAATATTCACTGATAAACAAAGAAAAGAACGTGTCGAAGATGTTATGACTGATCTAAACTTAGTTCCTGTTCGAAAGGCAATTATTGGTAGTACAATGAAACAAGGTATATCGGGTAGTGAACGAAAACGTTTATGTGTTAGTATGGAATTATTAAATCGTCCACAACTATTATTTCTTGATGAACCTACAACAGGCTTAGATTCTGTTACTGCACTCGATCTATTACATACACTTCATAAACTAGCACATGGTAAATCTCAAGAAAAAGCTGTTACTATTGTATGTTCAATTCATCAACCACAATCAAAAATATTTGACTTATTCGATTCGTTAGTTTTATTAAAAGCAGGAAATATTATTTATCAAGGACCAAGAAATCAAGCTATGGTAGAATATGTGATTTGAATTAATTTCATATGTTTTTGTATTATATATTTAGGAAGTATATCATGCAGCTGGCTTTTCTTGTCCATTATATACTAATCCTGCTGATCATTTATTAGATGTTATAACACCTTTAAAAATTGGTACAATCCACGTAACACTTGAACAAGAAGCAGCTACTGAGGAAGCAATTATTCGATGTCAACCTCCAGTTGATATTGATCTTAATATGGGTGTAGATAAACGTCGTACTCAAATGGCTAATCTACCATTGAATCCAACATGGTTGACACAAACTAGAATATTATTTTGTCGTAATTTAAGAGAACAATCACGAAAATTACGTATTCTTATGATATCGCTTATACAAACAATTATAATGGCGGTCTTAATTGGAATTGCTTTTCTTAATATTGGAAATACACAAACAAGTATAGTACGTCGTGAACCTGTTATATTTTTCTGTATTATTAATCAAGGTTTTTTTTGGTGCATTGACAGTTATTAATTCATTTCCTGTTGAACGAACTTTAACGTTACGTGAACGCGCATCTGGTACTTATTTTGTCAGTGCTTATTTTACAGCTAAAATTTTGGCTGATACATTAGTTCAATTACCTATACCAATTGTATTTGTAAGTGTATAAAGAAATTCTTTGTATAAACTTAAATTTCTGTTTTCTAGTCATGTATTGTCTATTTTCCTGTTGGTCTTCAATTCACAGCTGCAAAATTTTTCATTTTTACTTTATTCATGTTATTATGTTCAATAGCAGCAACATCATTAGCTTTAATGATATCTGCAATTTGTAAAACAACAAATATGAGTGTTACTGTATTACCAATGGCATTTGAAGTGTCACGTTTATTTGGTGGATTTCTTTTAGCACCATCACGTGTACCAGTATATTTTTCGTGGCTTGATGCTTTATCTTATATAAAGTATTCATTTGTTGGTGCTAGTTTAAATGAATTACATGGTTTACAGTTAAATTGTAATGGATTAAAAACTACTATGTTTAATGCAACTTATAATATAACAGAAACATGTATAACATCAGGCGAAGAATTAATAAAAGAACGTGGATATGATCATATAAGTTTAGAAGGTTGTATAGGTGTATTAATCGCTTTTATTATATTTTGTCGTGCATGGGCATTTATTGGTGTTCGATTTCTTAAAAATTGATTTTTTCTTACATTGTTATCTAATATTAATGTTTTTATATAATTTTTCCTCTGTATTAAATATAAAATTTTTAATAGAAAAAAAGAAACAGTGACTTTTTTGGTGTTTTGTTAAATAAAAATTATTGCTCATTGAAAAGTTTTATTAATCACAAATTGAAATAAGGCAATACATATAAAGGATTCTGGTAGGTCATCTAATAAAAGAAATTTTCATAGAAGTAGAGATTCACTATTTTCGAATGTTACAATTTTCGTTAGAACTAGAGAAAATCTATTTTTTCTATTAAGCAAATCCTGGTTCAGTCAGTTGTACACTTTATTTTGATGAAATAGTGAGAAATGTCTTTTCTTATATTTATTTATTTTCCTATAAATACACACACAAGTTAAATCTTTATTATGAAAACAAAACAGTGGAAATAGATATATACTAATCAATTATCATTATATCATCATCGTCATCCACTACTGTTGTAGTTGCCGGTTTTGCTACTGTTTTTTCTGAAGTGACTGTAATGCTACTTTTTGTTGCAATATCAGTTTCTTTAGCTGCTTGCTGTTGTCTTTTTTGTTCTACCATTGTTTCTTTAATTCGATCTCGTATACATTCTTGACGTCTTTGTAAATATTCTGGTATTTGTCGTTGTGGTTTAAATTCTTTTTTTCTAAGCCACTTATCAATTGCCTAGAAGAAAAATTTAAAAATGAATATATAAGATTCTTTCAATACCTGTTTTGTATCATCTTTAAGTTTATTAGCTAATGTTAAATATTCGTCTGGTTTAATATTACGTCGTACATGATCAGTCAGAGCCTGATTATAATAATCTCTTATTTGTTCAAAATTTAAATGTTCAGCTTGTTTATTAACAAATTCATTTTTCAAATGCTGTAGTTTTGTCTGTAAAAATGCTAATTGATTTTCATAGGCTTTTGATAATTCCGGTTTGATAAATTGATGAAAAAGACTAAATTCACGTGAACAAGTTAAACGAGCTAATTTTTCTAAATCAGTTGTTTGTAAAGTACGTGGTCGTATAGCTGCTGTTCTTCGAGATGAAATAGATGTTGTAGGACGTCCATTTGAACGAGATCGTGGATCACCAGAAGGTTTTGTTGGCTTTAGTGGTTTAGCAAGTGTAGCTGGTCGTGGTTTGGGTTTTTTCGGTACTTTTGGTTTAGGAGGTGGACGGACTCGAGGTGGTTTTGGTGGTTCAAGACCTTCAATAACAAAGATAAAGTATTAAAAAATTTTCACAAAAAATTCATATATATACGTTTTTGAATTTCTCGTGTTTCACATTTCGTAACCAATTTAACTGTTCGTTCTTTACGTGAAGGAAATTTTACACCAAATTTCGGTGCGTCTGGAGTCGTCATCTGGAATAGAAAGAAAAAGAGACACAAAAATCTACAAGTGATTCATCGAATAAAATAATAAAAATCGCATTTTGTCATTTCATTCTTACTCTTATTTGTATACATACTCATAACTGTGACGTGTTATATATAGACATACGTATGTAATACTAGCAAAAGACCTTGTTCAGTTGTCAATACGATTGTAAAATAGATAGACTTATATTATTGTCAAAATCGTCGTTATAGAAAAACGAATTTTAAATATAATAGTATATTTATTTCAATAATTAAATAAAAGTACAAAAAAATGTTCTTTTTTTTTGATAATATTATTCATTAAAATGGTGACTTACATTGTAACAAGGGTTTGTATCGTATCTATGTTTGTTCTACTCAGTTTGTGAACAACGTTCTGTTAGTCGATGCAACGAAAGCAGTATGATAGAAAATGTACTCGATACGTACGCAACAAAAAAAAAGGAGAGAAACGAGTGAACAACGACGATAGTATTACTACATCGTGTCTCGATTATAAGAGAAAAAAAGAGTAT